TGGTAAAACTGCTCCTACCCCTTGGTAAAAGCTGGCTACAGACTGTGTAAAACACTTGTGTGAGAACTTGAACATGAACGAGTACTGTTATGACCCCCAGTAATGTTGTCCATCTCTCAACTGGTTTAACTGGGGACCATTACATCAATTGGCATTATATCAATCAGGCAACAAAAAGAGGCCAGTGATGTGAAAATAGTCAATAGCACGGTGTTATAGCATGACGGTTACGCCACCTCTGAAAATGAGGTTGGACAGCTACGTTCACTAATTTATCCAATAAAATGGCCGCGATGGAAGAGAAAACTAAGGTTGGCGCATTATTTTCTATTTCTGTGTATCAATGAAAGGATGAACGATTTATGTAAAAATCGCATTCGGTGATACTTTCAGTAATGTATATTTTGAACGTAGCCTTTGCAAATTGATGCCCGGGGATAACATGAAATAAGAGAAAAACTGTTCAATTCAAAACTACACAAAAATTTAGTAATTTGTTTATTTTTGTTTTTGTTGTTAGGGCATGGTCTACATTGCCTAAAAACCTTGTGGTATATAGATGTAACCTACATACGATCATACAAAGCCAATTGAGCATTGGAAACCACCTATGTTCTACTCAAGCCATAATAATGTTTTTTGAATTTGTAGTAGTTATACACAGTTTACTTATACTTACAGTTAATATTTTGAGTGGCTCATGTACTGAGACAACACGAGAATGGACCAAATATTATAAACTTTGATATCTCAGTCATTAGGTTTACAGATTATATTCTGTTTCTTGTAGACCACCTGGCAGATTTGACCCAGTGTTTATAACCATCCATATATACGTCACCGAATGGAACTAGTTTAAAAGGAAATCTTATCTGTGAATATTTCCTACAGGCGAGAAAGAGGACATGCTGCCTTTCCCATCCGCCATTTTTTGTTATCGTTACCGCAAAATTTTGCAAATCGCCTTGACGTAACCGTCATGCTATAACACCGTGAATAGGGGACCATAAGTTTACACATTCCATGTGTACGTTCATCAAAATAGTGCGATCTTAACCTCCCTAATAACTGAAATTGTTGACTCAACCAATAGAATCATTCTATGTTTGTTTATATTTGTTCACATTAATATGGAAGAAAATCGGACATTTTGCTAAAAAGATGTTATTGTAAATCTTAGAAATAATGATAAAGATAGTATACACCACACACTCAATGGTATTGATTGTGGTTTTCAGAGACTCTCAATAGGGACTTTAAGCTTGCAATGTTTTTCACAACCTAAATGTGAATGGAAAATATTTAGCGATGCATTTGTATGGGCGATTGGTCATAGGTTGGCGTTTCGATTTTATATGCAAGCTTAATCTCCCTAATGTTAACATAAAGGTAAGAGTGTATGTTACTCATAACATTTTCTTAGGATAACATTTCTTGAATTGATGAATATGCAAAAATTATTCTTAGCATATCATCCTTCATTTCATTATTTGAATAATCAATCTGGAGATAAACTCAAATAAGGAAGTGTGTTATAAAACATCATCATATATGTTCAATGTTTTTTCAGAAGCTGGATCAAAATATTTGTCTTACTAAAATTATTGGCAAAGTTATGATGTACTAAATTCTTGTACTGTATTTATGATTTTAATAGCACTGTACCTCGTGAATCATTACTGATAAACGAGATACAGAAAACCGGTTCAAAGTAAATGCTATAATAAGGCATCATAGAAATTATCATAAAGAGAGGTATTTAGAATTTCTTAGCAACTTATAAATAATAAAAAAAGAGACTTCTACAAACCATCAGTGTAAAACTTACAAGTGATAGAACAGTGTGAAAAACAAGCACCAGAGACTAAACAAAGGTGGCATCAAAGCACCTAGTACAGATGGATATAAACAAACAAACAAAGCAACTTACACACACACAGAGGTTTAACTGCACTCAAACATTAAACAGTCAACTTGACTGGTATTCAGAATTTTGGGGAAATGCTGCGGTTATGCTCCATTGATTAAACAGGGGATCAAACAGCAGGGGATCAAACAAGTCCAACCATTCATTTATGAAAACATTTTGAACTAACTTTATGGCACACTAATGACATCTTATATGAGTGTGCTGTACTAAAAGCATAGCTTTTAGATCCCCATTGGATCCCCTTATATTGGATTATCATAATCCTAATCCACGAGGAGTTCCTTATATATTTTAAGTGATGAAACATGTGTTCAAGTACAATGTAACTTTGCATGAAAATTGTAAAAAAAAATGAGGGACGATGGTGAAAATGACGATTGTATTTTGAAAAAAGCTTGTTGATGGGTGGATTAAACATGGCTTATGAGATAATCCAATTGATCTTGAAACCATTCTTTGAATTTTTCTTAAAGATTATACATTGGCCTTTCATATGCATTCATTTTTGTACAGCCAGAAACTACTAGAAAAAATTATTTACTGTCAAAAATCTGTTGCGATACTTTCCCTCGCTCTTTGATAATGTGCGTTATGTCCATATCTGGACGTGGCAAGTTTCTATCATCGCGCGTTCTATCCAGCGAATGTTTACACTAATCATGGATGCTAAATTCAAAATGGCGCGTTGTTTAAATTCTTAAAATGTTACGACAAGGTACATGTACGTCGAACTTAAAACTTCTGATCCTTCAAACCATTTTTATTCGACTAAGCTTTTATTTCTGAGTCATTAGCTGATTGACAGCCATCAATCAGTAGCAGACAGAGACCAACAACCTTTGAAACTATAAACTTACACCCATTTGACCATTATACTCGACCTCAGGTGAGAAATCAGTTTTTAATGATGGTTGTTACTCCCAAATCACCTTATTATGTGTATGTTAACTTAGGCTTGTTGTCGAGTGTGCTTTACAGCCCCCTTACTCGGTGTCCTGTCACATGGTTTGATTTATTCCCCGAACACATTGTTGTCCCAGGTGAATTTATGTTCTATTATTTAGATAAGGCTCAAAATTTCAGTTTAGGCAAATCAGGTAAGTACATAGCTTTAGATCTAATATTACCAATGAGAATGAGGAATTAGGGAGGACGGGGGTAAATTCAATTTGGATGTCAATACGATTATCTTTGCTATACACTGTTCTTATGGGTGGGATGGGGAAGGAAGGGGCGGAATATGCTTCATGTTTGAACACTTATTTGCCTTTGATTCAGTCACAATTACATTATGCATTATTGTATTTGCTGATGAGAAAATTAAATTACTTAATATAATAATTTTCGGAACTGTGCATGGTGCTGAAGTGAGGTATTAATCAGGGACTTGTGCAACGTGACACCAAATGGACTCGACCAGTCGCAGTATATAGCTGCTACGCTATAATGTCAATATATTATCTTTACCGGTTATTGATACGTTCGGTTATAATCGATCTATTGACACATCGGGATAACTTGTTGGCCTTTTTGGACATAACAAAGTGCAGGTTTAAGAATGCGGATATGATGTCTAATAGAAGTAGCTCTATTGACACAGGATTTTGAGACCAGTGAGCAAATACGTACAGCTACGTTAACAAGAATCTTTCAGGCTCATGAATAAGAGCTGGAAGTTTGTTTTAGCTAAAATGATATTAAAAGCTTTAAAGATTGAACAATCGAGTGATTGAAACCCACAAAAGAAGTCTAAATGATCGTTAAAAAGACAAAAATAAAAGTAAAGGTGTTTTAATTAAAAGACGCGATTGTGAATAATGCGATGTGTTTAAATGCTGAAAATAACGTGACTAGTTTAAATAATATAGACATCACAGAGCTTGGGGATTTTCAGGTGAACTTTAGGTTAGGGTGTCAGTAAATATAACCACAGGTTGGCTTTTAAATTGGTAGGAGTAGATGGTGACACAGGTACATATGTAATTTAGGAGTAATTTATTGAGTCGTTTCGTCAATTTATCCACCTTCAAATATGTAGGCTATAACAGTAAATAATAGGTGTGATTATCATTTTTAATAAGACGATTTCTTCAATGCTATGCAAAATGTAATTTTGGGTAATAGGGATCAACAGGATCTATTGGTTAAGACATCTCCTGCGGGATACAAAGGGATGTGATGACTGCTGATCTAAAGCTTCTTTTTTTTATGTTGAGGCCACACGTCGTAGCCTACATGTCCATGCCCGCAGTATAGTCTAGAGTGTAGTTACAAACTACCGAAGACGATCTCTTTTAAGAAGCGAAGTCGAATGAACGCTACACGTACATGGGCCGACAAAAATAAATTAACAAACAAAATAGTGGAATATTTAGCAAGTACCAGATCCAGTGATACCATAAAGAAACAGTTTAACCTGTAGGATACATACACATTGCACATTTACCCGTTTGAAGCATGATGGAATTACACCGAGTCTGTAAAGTTGATGTTTGGTAGCGGTAGAAGTAATGACGGAATATAGCTTACCAGGTATCTCTCTTGGTGCTGGTAGCACTTTCTGCAAGGGAAATGCTGATTAACAGGTGGAAAGATTGCGTAGAAGCATTAGCAGAAATCTTCAGATTTTTGTTTTGTTGAAAAATGGAATGAAGTTCAAAAGGAAAATGAAATTGAGAGGAATGCGAGCATGCAGGTTTTGAGGCACCACGACATGCTTCAATTCATTATCCCGAGGCATTGCGTTTCCTATGCCAATATTGAAGGTGGATATCTAATACAATGGCCAAATGGAAAAGCACAGTTAGAAAACTGAGCATCGAAAAGTACAGCGTTTCAAGGAAACAAACTCAACAATCTAATGTGCAAAAAAATATTGCCAAATAATAAATGTTTCATTGAGCGTCAATGGTCAATCCAAAGAGGAAGAAAATACAAAAGGATTTGACTTTATTTGACTCGATGGTTCTTTGCTATAAATTCCACCTGACTCCTAAAGATTTACAGGAATGTAGCTTGAGGTATGGTGTAATGCTCCCTAGCATACTCATTATTTACATTTGTGTTTTAGACACCACCCAGAAGGCAAGTTAATTTCTGCCGATATACCACATAGAAAGTCAACGACGTGCTCGTTTGAAATTGGAGGAGAACCGTTAACCCCAACAAAAGACTCACTTCCTCTACCAAGATGTCAATCTCGAAATGGAAGTCCGTTCCCTAGCCCACGAGGAAGTCCGATGATGTCCGAGGGTCCACGATCTCCGCGAAGCCCAAAGAGTCCAAAAGGAACTGAAATGAAAGATACTGGGTACTGCCGAATTATCGTTATGGGTGCACCGGGGGTTGGGAAAACAGGTAAGCCCTTCCTTTGTAAAACATATTTAAAATGCGAATCGACCAGATACTAAGAAAATCAAATCAAAAATTGTTACTACACGTAGGCCTACTGAGCACCCCACTTGATAACGGCTCAATAGAGCGAATATTTTTGTAAACCTCTAATTCGGAAATATTTTTTTATCTTTGGCATTTCATAAATATTTTAAAGACTTTGTACCAGCAAGATTATATTTTGATACATTTTGATAGATGCAATGGATTTATTACATTGTTTAGAACTTCCCATTCTTGTTTTGCAGCGATTACTGTACGCTATTTAACGAAGCGATTTATTGGGGAATATTGCCCAACTTTAGGTAAGATCTTAAGCTACCATGTATTCTAAAATGTCAACATGACATTATTAATTACAATTTGTTCCATGTTCATTCTGTATAATCAGTATAAAGAAAATGTCCATCAAATGAACTACTTATTCCAATGAAAATGAAAGAGTCACATACTGTGTTGAAAAATGGATCAAAAAATTAGCCTTAGCTCAATGCAGTGTCATGTGCAGCGTGTTATGAGTAAATCTGAGAAGGGGATCCATCCAAACTTAGAAATGTATTGAAGTATAAAGTATTGCCCCCCAAAATAATATAAGTTGTATTGCTGTTGCCATTCATTAATTATGATATTTCCGTCATTGTAGTGGAAAAACTTATTTCATGTTTATTGCTCAATATTGGAACGAACCTTGTGTTCATAATTCATTTTCCTAATGCTTATCATTTATATGTTCAATATTTAGTCATTGTCCACGTGTTTCAGAGAGCAGGTACAAGTATCTTACATCAGTAGATGACACAGATGTACAGTTTGAAATCATTGATACAGCGGGACAGGTACATTTTCATAGTTATCATTTTATTTCTATTCAAGAATTTCAGTATCTGATTTGTCAAATTATTCCCAGGGCTTTGATCCAAGTTAATTTAGGCTTCTCATTTTGATTTATTTTATCTCAGAGTTACGCACACTATTTTGAAGTTAAAGGCGCCCAATGCTGAGGCGCTATATGAAATATAAATGCCCGACGGGTTTGGATAGCTGTATTTATTTACGTGATTCGGAGAGTGCGATAATTCATTAAAATGTTTTCTCAGTGTTTCTTATCTTTAAATATTCCAGCCTGGTGAAGTAATGAACGAGAGGTACGCGATGCTGGGTGACTGTTTCATCTACGTATATTCCCTCACAGACAGAGACAGTTTTCAGCAAATAGAGACATTTTACAAAATAGTCGAGGACAAACGAAAATTATCAAACAATAATGGGAATTTTCTATGTGGCGTTTTAGTTGGGAATAAATCCGATTTGGTTCACTCTAGGGAAGTATCCCAAAGGAAAGGTCATGAACTTGCTGACGTCATAGGTTGTAAATTCCACGAGGTGTCCGCTTCCGAGGGAACGCACGTTGACAGTATCTCGGAGATTTTTCATGACGCTTATAGGGAATATAAAAAGACAATAGGAAGCAACCCAAAAGAGAGACGATCAAGCTCTGGAAAAAAATTTAAAAATGCCATACAGAAGGTTATGAGAGGAGGTGCTCCAAAGAGAAGGACAAATTCGTACAGTTGATTGGATAAAATAGATGGTCACATGTATACACGATCGCTGTTGATTGGATAAAATAGAAGTGCCAATGGTCACATGTTTACACGATCACTGTTGATTGGATGAAATAGATGGTCACGTGTCTACACGACCACTGTTGATTTGATAATTGTTGATTGAACAAAGCCATAGTTGATGGGCTGTGACAACGAAGACTGATAATCACGTTGTCCAGATATTGAACTTAGAAACACAAGGGAAATATTCATACTCTTTAATTTAAAACTATGAAAGATAGTTTAAAATCTAGTCTGCTTTTAATGAAGTGCGCCAAAGATTCATTGATATTGATAGATACAAACGATTGAAATGAATACAATATTTTGCCTGAAAACATTGCATAGTTACGATCTCTTATTCAGTTCAATAGTTCGTCATGTATTTCTTTTGGCTTTCATGGTGGCTTACAACAGTACAATAGCATACCTCTTCTTTAAACCTCACAGAAAGCTCCCATGTTGCCCCGATTTTAATAGTACAGCACTCTAATTGCAATGACTGGAACAAGACTGATGCTGCCGCGTGGTATTACCAGAAGCAAAACATTTACTTCTTTACCCAGTTATGTTTTCACTCATCATTGAGAAACTAAAGAATTCCTTTGTCTATGGTCCAAAGGCCCAATGCATTCATTGTATTTACCAATTTCTGGTTCAGGATATAGACAAGAGGTATAGTAAGGACGGACTGTACAGGGTGTTCCATATGTATGCCCTCCATAAACTCATACATGTAGTATTGCCATCCTATCATGTTATGTATCATTTTATTCCTTATGGAAAGCCACATAGTTTCAGAATCAAGGGATATCCCTGAAAAATATATATCACAGTATACGTAGATCACAGTATGTGGGTACGCCTCATTTCGAGGGGAATTTCTGGTCATTTCGAGGGCAATTTAAAGGAAAAATCTAGTTTCTGTATTCACTGACTGTGTGTATTTCAGATTTCTAGCAGTTGTCATCATGGCAGAGTTCAGTCCACACATGTGTGACAGTTATGCACAAATGTTTATAGATAGAATTCATGCAGTGGCTTATAGGGAGGCCAGGGACCCTGATGCGACCTCTATCACTAAAAATGGTCATGGGTCTGAGACAAAGTGAACAGATCACCGGACTGAATCCAAAAAGGACTAGAAATTGCATTAGAAATGACCCCATACCCCCAAACGTTGATACATTGTATCATTTTCGAGGGACACCATTGGCTTCTGAAAAGTTGTAATCTTATGAAACTTTCTATGAGAAACAAAATGATAGGGTGACAACATTACATATATGAGTTTATGGGGGGGGGGGGGGGCATACATATGAAACACCCTGTATATCCATTTACATAAGAACTTGATTACAAATTGATATTTACGGAAATTCTGCATTAAATTTGACGAATGATATATTTGATTTGAAAATTCAAGCCGAATGTGACAGACTGATCTAAACCTTTTTTTATCTTGTTCCCGCCACGCGTGATCTCACACGGCTTTGTCTCCACTGTGGCTAGTCGATCTATGTGGATGCAGTCAGACACATGTAATGTTTCGTGAGTACCCGCCTCTGTACTTTTCAATGGAAGAATTTTGCACTTCTGTTTAAATAATCTATATTTACTCATCCGTGTATATCATACTTCATTGATTTACAAAACCAAAGCTACGCTATAAACACACATTCTCTGATATTTTTACGGAGAATAGATAACTCAAACGAGTTCACTCGACCAGTTTTATCATCTCGCTCACAGCTGTGAGAAGGCTGTATAATTTGCTATAGGTTTACCTTGTAATGGGGAATAAAAAATTCAAGTAATATAATTATTGCACATACACAAATATGTCTGTGTGAAGTAAAATACAAATACAATGCGTTCTATAATATTTGGGGTTATGTTATGAAATATCCGCTTTAAAAAAGCAATTTAATTATGATGTATCATGTGGATTAATAGACGTTCTGATTGGATTCATTGAACAGACTGGCTAGGTTTCAATTGAATCATTTTGAATGTGTGTATTTTTAATATTTTAATCCACAGTGTCCAAAAACAATAATAATGCTATATTGGTAATTGGAAAGATTCCACTTACCACGATTTCAAAAAATTGTAAATAGATAATATTATTCTTGAATTATGGTCATTTGTTTCAAGGAATCTGGAGGCTCGTTCAGCTGAGCTGACAAAATCATCAAGATTTACGGATGGTCCATCTGTTGGCTGCTCATTGTCACTTTCAAGGAATGTTAATGGCTCTGAAACTTGTAGCCTTGCCCAAGTCGGTATTTATTTACTTATCTGATCTTGAATTATTACCACCTTGTACAATCCAATGCATCATCGCTGATATTATGCTAAGTTACTCAGCAGTTCCGAGATTCCCATAATACCTAGGCTAACTAAGGGTATCGCAAAACCATATTGATTGACAATATGGACATGGACACAACGAGTGACTTCAGGCTGATTGACCAATCAAAACATTATCTGGTTGACCTGCATAAAAAAGCAAACTACCCGTCTAGGACTTGAAATTCAATGATCTGATCGAGTGTTTCTTGAGAGTTACAATATATTATGTTATTAAATGTACATCTGAATGTAAGCAGTCATTAATACTCGTCTAAATGAAATCATGCAATTCAATGTTGATTCAAATCAAAACTGAATTCGCGATGGAAATGCACGAAGACCTAGTCCGACAATGTAGGGCCGTCGTTGATTTGTCAAATTTTACCGACAAAAACATTGGGTTGGTAAAGCACGTGGCTTTCTCTTGGGTACAAGGTGGTCATAATAGAAATCAAGATAAGTAAAAGAGACCGACTTGGGCAAGGCTATGAAACTTGATTTGTGGGTATTCCAGTGGGTCGATGGGTCTTTTGCTCTGAATTCACTTTATTGGCGTACCTAATTTCAACATTTTCATTGTCATCATTACATGTTATGGACCCGTTTTTCAAATTAACATTATTAGCGATAAAACCATAGTTTTTTAGCCTATGGGATCGACCAGGCGTCCGTCCGTTTGTCCGTCCGTCCGTTGGTCCGTCCGTCTGTCAACATTGGCTGCCCAAATTAAAACTGCTATCTGGATTGAGTCATTTCCACATTCATTTTATGCATATCCATAATGTCTATTTGACCTATCATTGCCATTTCCCAAGTTCGGCCGGTTTCCAAGAAATTGCTGATTTTTAAATTTCGAGAAAAATAGATCTGATGATAGCCTTATAGAAAATCAAGAGAAGTGAAGAAAAGATTGAAAAATACCAGTCCAGTCCATTTCCAGGTCCAGGTCCAAGTCAAGGTCCAGTTCAGGCCCAAGTCCAGATCTAGGTCTAATCAGGTTTAATCTAGGTCAAAGGTCAAGAACTAGGTCAAATCCAGTACTTTGTCATTTTCAATTTTCTCAGTCGTCCTTTAATATTTTTGCTCTGTTTTTTAATCATGTTTCTTGGAAAAAAGCTAATCCCTACAGGCAAGTTGTTTTGATCACTTTTACCGTTTTTGAGATATGGCATCCGAAAAGTAGGTCACAATAAAAAAAAAAATTGGAATTCAATCTATGAGTTATGAAATATGTGAAGAATTGTCCAAAGAATCCGAATCTGCAAACCAGATTTTGATCCGACTTCCGGTTCGGAAGTTATGGGATTTTGAAATCTCAAAAATCGCTATTTTGGTATCCCATGTTAAGTCAATGGGGCTTGAGAAAATTATCAATTGTAACATCACAACACTAGATACAGCTTGGATGCAGCCAACTTAATAAGAATCTACAATAGAAGCCGTCCTCAAAATCTACTTTCCTTCAAAGTTTGGACACTAAAAGGCCTAGGTCAAAATCTAGGTCAAATTCATAGTTTTTCCTTTGACTACAACAAATCATATCTGAACCAACAACAAAGGACTCATCTTTTATTGATCTCATATTTACCAATACTTTTGTTTGAAAATCAGGATATACATTCCTCTGAAGGTTCTACACTGCGTGAGCACAGGACCGTGGGTCCTTTTTATCATCTGTAATGGCATTTTCCAGTTGATGGGTTTATATATAGTATTTTCAATTTTTCATGAGGGTGTCTTTAGACTACTTCTAATGGGGTGGCTAATTACTTTACTGAATGAGGAATGTTTATCCAAACAATGGATACAAAGACAATCTGGCCAGTTGTCCATCAGTAAATAAATCATCATGATAAAAGTATAATTTATTAAAGCATCCATTTGTTACCGTTCTAAATCCAAATGATACATAGGTGCATCCATTTTATACATATATGTTGACGTTTACGAAATGTTTTTCAAATATCTTCCCTATAACAGGAATATGGTAGCTGAAACGTTCACACATTGTCATACTATGTATATTGAATATGTATGCAAGACTTCAAGTTACGATGTTAAGTAGAAACTCTGAGATCACTTACCTCGATTTGCTGTCATATTTTTGCAATGATCCCATTCCCTATAATGTACGCGAGCACCCACGATACATTACATATAAATGACTGCATCCACATAGATCGACTAGCCACAGTGTGTCTCTGGATCAATACTGGTAGAATTAGGAAAACCATCTTTGCTTTCCCGTACTACTTTACACTCTATAGCAATCACCCCAATTGTGATTAAACAAAACATATTCATTATTGTGGCATTCTGTTTCTTTGTAAAACAATCCATGCGCATCTACACTGAAACAATTTTATGTTTGTATTCTTGTCACCCTATCCACCATACGTTTTATCGCCTGTACCTGTATGCCATCTTTTGTTTCTAGAAACAAAAAAAATTGTTATCCATTTTTGTTTTGATAATGTACCTCGGACTATAATAAACATACATTTTGGGCGAATTTAATGTTATATCTTTAACCCAAAATGGCAAAGGTAATCGAGGAATACTCAGAATGATCATATGTACGAATATTATCGTTCACATTCGCACTTGACCTTTCGAACTTACGCCAACCAAGTCCATCTCCCTCATAGCCATTTGTATCCCAACAAGCGATGAGCTGTCCTTCATTTTGGGGGTACATCACAATAATATTATTTAGCTCTGCGAGTTCATTAAATCCAGAATTCCGGGCTATCTCATCATCAAGAAAAATTCGTCCATTTGCGCATCCGTGGAAGTAGATATGAAGCTTACACGCTGTAGAAAAATGATAACAAAAACAATAGATGGGGTCACAGAGCAACTGGCAGATGAAAAAGTAACTAGGTAAGCAAGGAGGATTGGAAGCCAGGGTTCCAACTCGATATTCTTTAATCTCCACGCATGCGTCATTTGCTATTCGTGTCTGTATAATTTGTACGACTGCATGGAGAATGACCCGATACTCTCCAACAAAGCTATCGCTAGGTGATTGTTTTGCAGAATATCGGTGTTGCATTCTGGGAGCCAATCCTTCTTGTAGGTAAGGGTATTTTCAACTCTGAGAGACTAACAAGGCACGCACACGTTTTTACTATCAACGCTCTACATTTTTAAATATGATAACTTGGTGCATAAAATAATTTTATAGAGCCAATGAATAGTTAAGCAAGCTATTTCATACCTGTCGAACGTTCCACACATCCAGATGGTACGTACATATATCCAACATCATCGAGGGAGTCATCCTCTGAAGTCTTGAACTCACTCTGGTCGAATTCGAAAAACTGGAAAGGAAACCGTTAGCTTTGATAATATCAGGTAATTCAATACAAGAAACAAAGTTATCAGGTATAATATCACAAGATTAGAAACATACCAATCGTCTTGTTATACACCTGTTCTGCTTTTAAATGAATGGAATAGACTAGATGCGAGTAGAAATGATCTTGATTTACGTCATTAAATATTCAAAATTCAGTCAAAGTGATGTCATATTTGAAATCTACATGTAAAAATACATCTAGAAATATGGTTTCGAAAATTGTTTATCAACTTTGAAAATTTAATCTTGAAAATGTGACTTCTAGTTCGGGTTGATTCCCCATAGACCCCATATTACAAAATCACAAAAAGTGAAATATCCTTTCTTGTGTTGGACATATAACATTTTATTTTACTGGACATACTTTAATTTGCATAACTATTCGATACATAAGAGCTGTATGAAAATTGAACCACTAAAACATGCAATTTAAGTTAAAGGGAACTTTCTACTATACCCGCCATGCTATCTGACCCGAGCGAGCCACCTGGTGGTGAAACTGGTAACTACCTACTCGCATTTGCGTTATTTACGCCATGTATGTCTATTACCTGTCCATTGAGGCCAACAGAGCCATTGTGGTTGACTATGTTGTCATAGATGGAGTTGAAGATGTGAAACGCACCATCATAGCTGCAATTATTGATGTTTGGAGGGAGTGTAAAGCCTTCTGAGCATTCCCAACCATAGTTCAACGTGGGCTGCAAACAATCAAAACGGTTTATAGAGCCAACAAAAAGTTTTAAAACCAAGACCAGCAATGTCCTGTTTAAGAACCCCATTTCTTACTACTTTGAATCTATGGTATTGATACTCCCTATCGATATTTTTCATAATAGTGAGAACGTTAACTTTGTGATAAGGTTAATGTCAGAATAAAATATACACGATTTAAAAAAATCAGCGGCTATTAAATTGAAAAGCATTAACCTACTGTACGTATATAGTCCCCGGCATAAAATGACAGTAAACACAAACCTATTTATAAGCCCTTGGTGAACCAGGGATATGACAATAATCAAACTTATGAGGTCCTATAGAGCAAAATATTGTAGCGGGAGCGCATTTTTCTTATTTATTTTCAAGTTTTATTTTCATGCTTTTATGATCAAGATCAAATTATGTTTTATATATGGTTAAAAAGAACATTCTTTTAACCATTTATTCATTTTTATTTCATGCAAAAAAGGAATAATAGTTTTTGAGTAAGACATGTTTAAATAACTAGTGTAAACGTGTGATTTTATTTAATTCACGGCCGCTTGGCACACATGATTTCAGTTCTTATTTACTCATGTTCTTTCTCATTAAATATAGAGAAGAGTATTTGTCTGTAAATTATAATAATTATTTCTTAAATTAAGGGTGAATTGAGCTTTTAAACGGTGTATTAAACTTTGAATTTGATCTCATACTTTAGGAGATATTGTAATTTAAAAAGAGTGATTTTCAGTCAAGTTTCATATTTCTGACGGCATTTTGCCGATACTTTTACAAACTTTCCCACATAGTAAATTGATTGACAGGCTAGCGCTAGGTTTATTAGTCTTTGATGTGACAGCTATTTTGACATTGTAGCAAGCATTCAGATTCGTTGTCATAGTAGCATTTCCTTATATGGAAAGAAATGTTCCGAAATCTTAGTTCTCACAATCGTTCGGGGAAAGTTCAGTCTAGTTTTGAATGCTGAAGAGTAAGAACCTGCGATTACATTTTGGATTTATAACAGAATTGTATCATTGGATTTATAACCGATTTTGGATTTATATTGCTGTATTAATTACGCTGGATATTTGTGCTACTGGTGATCGTAATTATTGTGGATTTATATTGAACATAACTGGATATATCTTGCGTTTACACGGAGATACGTTGTTAGCCTGAAAGTCGTTCAGCGCTGCTTGTGACTATGTATTCTGATATAAGGTAATTATTACAATAAAGTCTTGTTATTTGTTCATTTAAATTCACTGTGTCTGTTTTGATATAAACAAGTGAAGCTAAAGTGAGCCAATCTAGTCCACATTTACTGCTTAATTTCCATTGCAATTCAAGAGTGATAAGGGAAATAAATTCAATTTTACATCTTTCCTTCATTCAATCAATTCACAGTCCATTATTTCCAATATTCCATTTATTAGCATTCGCTATTACCAATTCTTTATCCCAGTATTTCTATCAATTTAAACAGTTCGCATATTCATTATTTTTATCCTTAATTCCCAGTGCTACTGTTAATTATTCCAATCTCATTACATTCATATTTGCGACAATTTACAACATTCATATTTTTTTGTCTAAAGATTGGCCATATCCGTAACAAATTGCTCTTACCAAAACTGCTCCTTACTTTTTGCTCCGGAGCCAATTTCACTTGTGTGGAGTAAAGAGTTTATTCCAAAGAGGCAAGGTAGTGTAAGACTATTGCTATGTGACTTAATTGGTATAACCAAGGTAGTAGTAATTCATATGCAATAGGTACTTAATTGCTCTCAAAGCTCCTGTTTTGCTGTTTAACTATTGATTTGGAGCATTGTGCTTTGCTCCGGAGCCCATTGAGAGCTCCTGCTTGTTTAACTATTGATTTGGAGCCTTGCATTTTGCTTTGCTTCAAGGCTCATTGATCTATTAATTTATTTAGAGCATTACATTTTGCTCCGGAGCTTGTTATTGGCTCTAATTGTGTTTGGAGCCTGACTGAGGCATTTATTTGAGCACTACATTTTGCTCCGGAGCCTGTTGCTTGCTCCTATTGTGTATGGAGCCTTTCCGAGCCATTTGTTTAATGTTACACTTTGCTCCGGAGCCTGTTGCTTGCTCATTTTGTGTATTGAGATTTGTGGAGCCATTAGTTTGAATGTAGCATTTTGCTCTGGAGCTCAAGTCGCTAGGAGCCTACCGTACTCAGTATTCATTACATTTTGCTCTTCTAGCCATCAAAGTGTGCTCTAATTGTTTCACGGAGCTATGTTGTAGAATTTAAATATTGGCCAATCCATTCATGATCATCATTCTTCATTCACATATTCCTCCAATTTAAATTGATCATTTTACATTTATCAAAGTTATTATATTTCCCTTGTCATTCTTTGTTATTCTACTTGTATAATATCAGTGGCAGAACGATAATTAAAATCAACACAACAAAATCCTTTCACCAACAGACGTTCCCCGCCGGCTCTCATACCACGTGAGAGTTTTAAAGTGACACTCGGGTTTCCGCTCGGCCCAGACGCCACGTTCCGTCACATTGGTGGCAGCGACGGGGATATTGTTTTGTTAATTGATCTTGCGGTGTTAAAGGCTTGCATGTCTTGATTTTTTTTATCTGTAAGCGTTCATCACTAGACTCACTTGTGGGGAGCACAGAGTTTATTCCAAAGAGCCAAGATAGTGTAAGGCTATTGCTATGTTACTTAATTGGTACAGCCAAGGTAGTGTAATTCATTTGCAATAGGGACTTAATTGCTCATTTTGGAAAGAAGTGCTCCATTGAATAAGTACATGTGACTTTATATGAGCCACTAACTGAAGTGTTCTATTTAGTTGCTGTATAAGTGAATTTATGAACCGAGGGTAGTCCTCAGACTTTATTGTGTGAACCGAGAATCGAGGGTAGTCCTCCATTTGTGTATGCTTTATGAGCCGAGGGTATTCCTCATGATTTGCTCTTTGAACCGAGGGTAGTCCTCAATCTGTATGTTTTATGAACCGAGGGTAGTCCTCATGTTTTATGCGCTGTGAACAGACTTCTTAAAGAAGTTTGCAGTGAAATCTGTATTGATTTATGTGATACTTCTGCTCCGAAGCCACTCCAGTTCAATATTGAGAAAGAACACATTGAAATTAACGTTATTCCGTGCAGGTGCAGGTACACGTTTTTAAGAGTGAGGCAGATATAACACTGTTGCGAAGTTGTTGGCCGGATCGCTCTGTTTGATTTGTATTGTTCTTTAAGAGGAGCTGGCTAAAGAGCAGTTGTTAGTTGTACTGAGATTTATACCCGAATTATGAACTGTTGAATCGTCACAGTTTAAGAGAGCATTGAAGTGCAATTCTTTGGCAACGTGCCCTAATTGGTTCTTCCAAGGTAGCATAAATCGTTAGCTAGAGTGACTTATGGCTCCTGAATTTGTTTAATTGTAAGAGAGCATTGTAGTATAAATCTTTTGCAAACGTGTCTTAATTGGTTTGACCAAGGTAGCATAATTCGTAGGCAAAAGTGACTTATTGCTCCTGAATTCTGGGGGAGCACAAAGAGCAAGGTAGTATAATTCCTCATCTTAGGTGACTTAATTGTTCATTTTGTGTGTTTATTGTTAAAGATATATCAGATCTGTGTATGAAACTTACACCATGGAGTCAGCTAATGACTCGGATAATGCAATGGATCTGACACAGTGTGGTGAAAGTGCTCAGTTGAGCCCAGAAAACACTGTATTTTTCAAAGGGGAAAATGCTATGAGCAACCCCATGTCAGTGAATGAAACGGTTGTCTGGTCTGGAGGAAATCCAACTAGGTCTAATTATGGGGTTGGAGCAGTTCCTAAAAGGACTGATTCTAACCAGGAAATGCAAACAAAATCCACTGGATATTGGTCTCATGTGTCTGGAACTGATTTGAGTTTCCTTCAAGGTTCACAACAAAAAGAGGGCTTTGAACATGCTCCTCGTTCTTCCACTGTTGGGCCAACCTCAGAGACTGACAAAATCAGTGCCATGAGTGACCAAATTAGTCATCTGTGGAGCAACATTGACTTAATTGGCAATACAGTGGATATCATGAAATCTAACATGGGCTCCATGAAATCAGATGTGACACTTATTGAATCTAATATGGGCTCCATGAAATCAGATATGAATTCAATGAAGTCTGAAGTGACACAGGCAGTGTCTTCACTGGTTCCTATCATGGATCAGTTGCAGAATCGCTTGGTGTCTCAAATAGACCAGAGTTTGTCTGATCACAAAGCTAAGATCGACCAAGAAATGTCTCAACAGAAATTTGAAACACAGGAGCTGATTAATGAAAATCGCTCCCCATTAAAAGAACTTGAAAAAGTCAAGTTCAGAACTCCGCATGTTGATAGTAGAGGAGACGTATGTTTTGAGAGAGAGGCAATGGCTCCATTAGTGGATGGATCACAAAGTCCTCCTCATAAGAAGCCATATGCTCTCAAAAGACAGAGCGCAATTTATCATAGTCCATCGGACATGAAAAGTGGTCTACCCTCTTTTCCTGGCTTTGTTTCAGGGCTGAAGGGACAGGTTAGCCAGATACCTGAAATGAAGGGTTCAAATACTTTTGAAATGGCTCAAAATGTGTCAGGTATGGAATTGAACAAAGGAGACATAAATCCTGATAGAATAAATCAGGTTCCAAACAAATTCCTCCCAGTGAGCAGGGAAGATTCAAATCCTCCCAGTGCTCCTCAGTATAGTGGGAGGAAGAGGAATTTATATAGTAACTCTCCCACAAGAAATATGACTGCACGTCGGTCTGATATGTTGGAGCATATATCTAAACATGATCTGTTGTATAGTTCTCCACCCAGAGAAAACATTTCACACTCACAGCAGACTAATTGGTCACCAGAACATGTGACAGGTGCTTCTCCCTCATCACATGAGGTTGATATGTCCCCTGCATTACAGGTGGTAAGAGAAGTAATTGGATCATTGAGAAATGATAACAGATCCA